CACGATATTGTGCATCCTATATAGGAACCATCTATCGATATGCGTCAGTGCATAGGTTTTCTCGACGTTGAAATCGCCATACTACGAGCGATTGCAAATATGTGTTTATCTGTTGGATTTGAAAGATCCTAGAAGAAGGCGACCTTTTTTAAAAATGTATAAATTGCTCGAATGAAAAATTCAAATCTTGAACAGGTCACATCAGCGCTAGCAGTGCTGAAACAACACCAGAAAGAGTCAAAAATGAGACAAATTTGGGACTAAAAGTCCGCCTGCAGAGAAAAGGTAACTATTGAAAAGGCCATGTCTCAAAGTCGTAAAATCTTAAAAGTTGTCGTCGGCTTTCTATGGAACGCATCCGGTGAGAAGCCATCTACGTGGTCGCTAACCATCCGTAGTACGTTTTGAAATGCCTCTTCGTTACACCATTCGCACCGGGACGTTCACTTCGCAGGCAGGCAGCTTACTGTAGACAGCTGTACGCAATGGCACACCCATTTGGACAGCTCGTCCAAAAACCTTTTCCTGCAACCTCTATCGTCACATTCTTGTCCAACCCCTGGAGTTACTTCTTTTTTGAGCCTCACGTTTCTCTGAGTACCCCAATTTTTTTGCGTTTTCTTCACCAATTTCACACTATTCTGGACTTTTACTTCCATTATTGTTCTAAAACTAATAGATACCCCAACATTATCGTGAACCATGCCTTTAACATAATCCGCTCTCGTTTCTTTCACCTTACAAAAAGGTAAACTTTGAAAGAAAGAGTGAATTGTACCTCTTGCAAGCCTACCGAATACTAAGTCTTGACGATAACTGCTATCTTCCATGCTGACAACCAAAGAAGACTGTCTGTCAATGAGAGACAGCCCAGAAATCCCCAACTTTTTTCACAGTTTCTGATGGTTCAATACGTTTTTTTTTNTTTTTTTTCTGTAAAAATTAGAACTCGACCAGTCATACGCTATAAAAACTCTAACAACACTCGTTCAGTATTTTTTAACTTACACAATACCACCCTCCCTTATGAAAAACTTAGCAATGGACAATAAGAACAGATATTCAAGTTCAGAGCACTTGAACATCAAACCACAATACCAATCTTCTAGTTAGTATGTTCATTTGAAATATGTAAATAAAACAATCGACCAACAACGTAAACAGGTTGAACCCTTTGAAACCGATATCACCAGATTATTCAACAACAAACTAACAAAACAAACACTTCGTAGTAGAGCCATGAGAGAAAGCGGCTTTACAATTCGCCGTAGTATTTCGAAAGGAACGACTCAACAATTTCACAGATTCAAAAATAAAAACAGTATCAACAAAATAAAAATGAATCAACAATCTCATATAAAGCTAATTGTAATTATAGTGGTGATTTTCCAAGTATCATCGCCAGCAAAGCCATTCTTACGTACATTCCATTCTTTGCCTGACGGAAGTATGCAGCGCGATCATCATGATCCAACTCGGTGCTGATCTCGTCCACTCGCGGTAGCGGATGCATCACTATCGGCAAATTTCGGCTAGGTCCTAAACAAATTCGCTATTCGGGGTCGAATAATTCCGAAATTGCGAATAGACCCTTACCAAGTATGTTGCCAGTGAATTCCCTGGAGCGAGCTGCTGCATTCAACAATTTTGCCGTCAATACATAACTCCCTTTCACTCTATTATACTCTTCCTGAAAAGAAAAAGTGATGATGTGGGTAGATATGATGTAATGGCAAGTAGCGCACTGTCACACACACATGGTCACGGGTTCAGACCCTATATCGGTATCCGACTGAGGCAACTAAGCCTTCTGTCACTCATTATATCATTTTTTCTTCAGATTCCGCTAGCTCACAAATCCTGCTCCCGATGCTCCCGACTAAGACAAACCAAAGTGATAAATCTTCCCCTGTCGTATGCGTCTAAACATAGAGCAAAAAGGTGATTTTTTCGGAAACCCCATGGTATCTAAGTTTTGAACCTCATGGACAGTTTTAACTGGATCGACTGAAACCCACAAGCAGGTAGTCATAATCAATCTCGATTAGCGGAACTTTGTCGTGAACAATTCAAACCCTTACTAACCTCACTTGCAAAACGTTCCTTCTGGATCCTTGTAACATAGATCACATCAACATTCTGAATACCCTCCGCCAAACAAGTGAAACTCTTCTGAAACGAAATTCTCTTAATATCGCACCCTCCCTCAGTCTTCTAGCTACGAAAGGAATTTACCTGAACTCCACCAAGCTTCTTCACATAATCGACAATGTATTCAGGCATGCCAAGTTCCGGTGTTGGTGTAACATAATGAATTGTAACATCCTAAAATAGAACTCGTCTAAATCTTTACATCCCAAAAAGCCGAGCTGTGGGAAAAGAAGTGTCAAACTCAGTTACAGAAACTTTTCAGAATCAAAATTAAGGCCGGAACTTTGTAATGAACGGATAAAAACGGATAAAAAGTGCCGATCAGCACAAGCTATCAAAGTGCCTTACAGTGGCAAATTCACTACAGTACCTTGTATACGCACAGCAACTTTGCCAACGAATGTACTGTACGTCCGTGCTTGAGATCGCCAACCATCGCTATTGTCAGTCCATTGACAGTTCCGATTTCTTGGCGGATTGTGTACACATCCAACAAAGCCTATTAAAACCATTTACATTTCCGACACTAGAATTACCAGATTTTGCTACCTTAAAGGGCAGAAACAGGTCAAATTTCCCAACCACCAAAAGAGAGAGAGATTGACATAGTTCACATTCAGAGACTAAGCGAAAGTAAGGAAATATCGAGTCCCTTGAGTATGTGCGCCACAACAGCACCTACTGAATTCTCAAACAAAACACGTTACTACCTGGGTTGGATGTTCCCCGGATCCATCTCCTGCGTTGATTACCGGACGAGAAGAAACAGCCGCAGCACGGGCCGCTGCACCAGTCTCCTTATGCCTCAGTACAACGACATCCGCATAGTTCGACATGATCGTTACCGAATCTGAAGATTATCATACGGTTGAAATAATCAGAAAATATGCACTAGTTCAGTCATTCAGTCAATCCGATATGATAAGGACCTTACCTTCAAGAGTCTCACCCTTCTGAACAGAAGATGTAAAACTGTCCATGTGAACTACCCCTCCGCCAAGACGTTGCATTGCTGCTGCAAATGAGCTCGCCGTTCTCGTAGATACCTCATAGAACATCGACGCCATCACATATCCCTGGAAAGACAGACATCTTAGTTAGCCTTTGAGGGAGAAAACCTGTCAGTATGAGACCATCTGGTTCTATCTGAGTAACCCGGACGTAACCATGGTTCAAGATCGATGCCTAAATTCAGTAGAAGAACCATGGTAACATGGTTTTTCTGCTTAATTTAGGCCCCGGTCTTGAATCTTGCAATTTCTGTTCAAAACATTTCACTCTTTCGATTCTTCTTAGTGATTCAAAAATGAAAAACCCACCTCAAGGATATGTGTCAAAGGATGTTTTCTTTCGACATCAGCTCGGAATCGATCGGCAACATCGAAAATGCTGTTCAGCTGGAATGGAAATCAGAAAATATAATTTATGATAAGGACGATTTAGTATTAGTTGGTCGTTAAAACCTTACCGTCGACTTGCCGAGTTCATGGACTGATAGTAGATGACTTCCTGCCAGCGTTACTTCCCGAGGTGTGAACTGTGCAACAGGTAAAGTGGGGCTTTCTTCAATCGAGACCTTACTTTCTTCTTGCCCTTCATCAGTCGTTACTTGCAACTCTCGTCGTATACTTGGAATTATTGCGACTAAATGCAACAGATGCATATTGATCGATATCTGTATGACAAAGAAGTTGCACTTACTATCACTAGGAGTACTAATCAATATTTCTTGGGATTTCGCTGCGCGTACATTGATACCAAAGCCGGGTCTCACATGTATCTGAACAAAATCAGCCCTACGAAGGAGAAAAAAAGCCAACTCTTCAATAATACTTTCAACAACATACCATTCCATCGACGTATGCTTCCTCGCCTCGAACTACTACCTTTTGTACACGTCCTTTAACCTTTATTCCAGCATACGGAGTCCAGCCAGCTTTACTTTCTCCGCCACTTTCTGGAATCACCCACTCATCGTTCAGATCGACCTAAAAAATTCCACCAATTAATTGAAACTTGAACAACATCGTAGATCATTTCCTTAGTCACATTAAAGAAAAACGCATAGCATAAAAAGTATACCGTACCTCTATATAGGTGTCTGGTTGATCCGGCAGTCCAAAAATTTTCTTTGGATTGTAGTGAAGACGATCGACGAGTTGTCTAAAGCAGAAACATAGAGAATTACATGAAAAATAACAAAATTTCTTTATAAATATAAATACAGGGAAAGCTTCGGTTTGTGAGACTGAAAGGGTACGGATGCATCAGAAACTTTACCAACTCTCTTACTTCACCTGCCACCATTTGATCTATTCAAGCAGCACTGACCACAAGATTAGGCGCTCCTTATTTATATATATTTATTACATGAAATGACTCATGCAAGGGCTCAGAGGTAGCCAAGAAATAACAACCAAAAAAAAACATTTTATATTATTTAATTTTTTTCGATTTTTGAACGAAAATCAAACATAATTTTCAGGTGGTAAAAACAGATATCAAACAAAACGGTATAGCAAATGAACGGTTACTATAAAAACATGCCATTAACGAGTACCTCAGTGTCAGCTTCCCTTGTGAAACTGCAGTCAACAACAGTGGCACCATATATTCCACACCTGGGAAACCGGGTGGAGCCTTGTCAGGATCATTCTTCTCAGCCCATGTGTGAGGAGCTGAAAAACAATGAGATTCCGAAAAATCACGACGGTCAACTGACGAATTTAGGATTCGAAATGAAGTCCCGATCGTCTCTAGGGTAGAAATTCCATACAGGAAGCAAGTATGGGGTATGGAGCAAGAATTACCACATCTGCCTATTTATAAAATTTACATTGCACCCCAAAGACGCTCTACTACATAACAAATGTTTTTAGGGTAGGGTTATCAGAACAAGATAGGTAGAGTGAATTATAGAACAAAGAATTTGCAAAGGAGAGTCAACTCATCCCAAGTAAACAGCCGAAAATTCAACCAAGGGAGCTCGTAAGAAGTAATAAAAATTGATTGGATGAATAAAAAGGGATTTCTAAAAACAGTAAGACTTCTAAAATTCAGAGCAGACCTCACAAGCCCTATGTCTACTATACCTACCGTGATCCGTAGCAAAACAATCGATGAATTCAAGATTTTCCCAAAGGGCGTTTCTGTCTTCGATTGTCGCCAAACGTGGGCGGACCTGGAAACTTCGACTTCCGATTATACTTACCAAACAAAGAAAAATTCGAAATTCTAGTCTCAAGGGAGATGTAATGACTGAAAACAGTCCAACAGACCTCTCTCACACCAGGCGGTAAATCCTCTTCTGTCAAGAAAAGGTGGTGTGGGCAAACTTCGCATGTCACCGGCCAACCCTATAAATTGCTATTAAATGTGGAAATGAACTACTTGGAGAGTAGGACGATTATACGGTTATATCATACAAAGTCTAAACAGAGTGGGGAAGAATAGAAAATTAATCAGAGGAAAGCATCTAAATTTCAAAATATTAATATAGTGTGAATAATTACCTTTCTCTTTGCGTCGCGCACCAAAAGGATTTCCTCAGCGCTCGATACATGGCAAATATGTACTGAAAAATTATTTTCGTACCAGAAAACTCAAGCACCCAAAAAGAAGTGATTGAAAGAATGGCAGAGTCCACGTAGTTATCAGGAAATAAATAGTAATACGTAATATAAATCATTATCAGCCACTAACCAGCCCGTCCAGTCATCTGAGCCACACAAAGAACCGCAGCAACTGTCTGCTTCTCGGCATGGCACACTATTGGTCTCGACGATGGGAATGCTTCGAAGTGCTAAAAATATTTCTCAGTGACCACAGAATCTCCTCTCTTCAAGTATAAATGCAAATTGTACCTTGACCCAATCAGCGATTGAATCCATTTTCAACGTTGAGAAGGTCTGATTGAGGTACATCTTCAGACCAGCGCTCACTGGCGCAAGTTCAAAAGCGACGAGAGGGTTACTTGGTGTTGCACCAATGTAAAGTCCATAGTCAACAACAGCATTTTGTGATGCCATCTGGAAAAGATGCCGATGAATAAAACTGGTGGTCATCAGATTTACGAGTTCCGACATTCATTATCTAGCGTTTTAGCAAGTTTTTCACCGCTATACATATTTTGTTTATCCTAGGTTGGTAGGTTGAACTCGGAAGACTCACAGATCCAGAGAGTTTCAAATTTCAGTTTTTCTTGCTTCTCTGTCTGCATGTATTGCAGCGCTACCTTGACAAGGTGCTCGAAATCCGTTTTCTTCACCTTCTATCGGTTACCTGCTGTACTGGCAGGAACTCAAGCTCATAAACTTTAACAATTTTTTCTTATTTTTCACTTTCATCGACGCTTCAAAGGCATACAATCTTTATTATCTCTGTGTGATTTGATGGTAACTACTCTCGAATTAACTATAAAGTTCCAGGCAGAGTTTTCATACCATGAAAAAATGTCAAAAATCAGAAACGTCTTGTTGGAAATCAAGTAACTAATCACCTTGTCGACCAACTGATAAGTGTCCACATCAACCAGGGGAGGACTTGTATTGGGCATCGCCATTATCTGTGTGATACCACCAGCCAGAGCTGCACGAGTGCAACTGTACCAGTCCTCCTGGAAAATGTAGATGCAGTGAAATGCGTCAGGTTCCCCAACGTGAAGGCGGATAGCTATGTACAAAAACGCTACTATTCAAAATAATAATAATAATGGAAAAATCAACAGTTAACATTGTTTTGAACCTGCCTTGTGAGTTGCGCCAGGTTCTCTGACATGTACATGGATATCTATCAAACCAGGTAGACGCTTCAGACTACGACTAGCAACGCAGTCAATCTGAGAATTCACGGGAGGTCGTCGGCCGACCGTATGCAAAGCCTTAATAAAAAAGCGTAGCATGAATGACAACTCGGAAATGTGATACTTCTATTATATTGCACAGGCTCATCTAGTCAAAATCGATCTAGTAACAAAAGTACGAAGCTGCCTGGGTGAAAAAAAACAACAGACCTCAATAAACAGTTTAGCACACTTGATGTCAGTGATTAGTGGAATTCCATTGTCGACTGCCATTCTTCTAGTTTTATATCCAGGCGTTCTAAATTGAAAAAAGTAAGGTAATCGCACAAAAATCAAGGATTAAGACATAATTTTTTATTTGTCCACCAGTTTATATGCTTATCAGTTCAGTCAATCAATCATTACTAAATCTGAAAGAAGACAGCGGAGCATGCATTGACTAAAAAAGGAGAAATTGTTAAAATCTCCATGGGACTCGCCTTTCGAATTCAGAAATTCGACTGAAATCTTCGACGGAAATACTTACATAAGCAACAGAATTAATTAGAGAATTACCAACCTGTAAGCCGAAACTCGATAGGCGCCGGATCCACGAATAGGAAGATTTATCACCAAATGGAACTCCTTATTCTCGAAAAACTCTGCCACGCTTCTGAAACCAACCTGTAGGAAACGGTACAGAGGGCTATCATTAATGTATAACTACATGTGTGCATATTTTTTAACACAGTGGCACGTCTCTCTAATCACCCTTAGAGCGATTGCAAGGAACTTACGCGCGTAGTGTCGATGTCAAAAGTCAATCAAGCTGTATTTGTGATCAGTTTTACTCTTTCATTTGACTGTTTCTGTAAAATAATCCTACCTCGTTCCTGCGGCCATCTTTTGATCAGATGTTCCTTCTTCAAAAGGCCAATCGACGGCCGTCACATGAATGTTATTCGATTGGAAGTAGTCCGCTGTGCCTTTCGAACCGAACAGATCAAAGTTCATGTCTTGCAGCAGCTGCACACTGCGCAGCATCTCCGACTTCGCCTGAAGCATAGACGACCTCTTTTCGTAGGATAAGTGAAGACCGGAAAACGGATTCGTGAAAGAACATTACAACGAAAGCAAAGGAATACATAATCAACTAACATGGTACCCTCCAATCGATAGAAGGATGTTCTTCTTTGGGACAACAAATCCAGTTGAAAGCAATGCTTTCAAATACGCTTCTTGACGATGTTTCCCGAAGCAGGCAACCTATGAAAATTGAAATTAAAAAGTCCAAGGAGTGAAGAAAATCTCGAACCCAACGATAGGGATGACAATTTGCTACCTCTCCAGTAGATGCCATCTCTACTCCAAGCATCACGTCAGCGCCCGTCAGACGAGAAAATGAGAATTGTGGCACCTGGAAGTAAACAATGTTTTTCACCCAAACCGTCCAACCAAGTAAAATTCATTTACCTTCACACCGACACGTGCTTTGCCTCGAAGCAGACCATGCTTCTTCAACGAACTAGCTATTGCCGGATTGTCTGCTGCCATCATCGCTCGTGTGGCCAAAGCGACAAAGTCAAAGTCAAGCGTCTTCGTGACAAATGGGAACGAGCGCGAGACTCGAAGATTGCATTCAATCACTTTTAGCTCATTATCCTACAAATTGATATTATTAACTTCGTGATAAATAAATGTGTTTCGAGTGTAAACATTATATTCATGTTATTCTGATTATTCTGAATCATTGAACCCAAGTGATTTTTTAAAATCATCATCGGGATTCAGTAAAACAGGAACATCTGTAATTTCTTCATAGCAGAAATACTAACTTTGGCGAGAAAACTGACACGTCACAGTACGGCTGTCCTTAGCCTATGCAGCGCGAAATCGACGCAAATCGTACTTATCGACCGCAGCTGAGCGTCGCAACTCCGCTGCCGCTAGCTGTCTCAATTTCTGCCATCCATAGCTGGAATTGAGATAGCTAGCGGCAGCGGGGCGGCGGGATGTAAATGATTAAAACTCTATGATGTTGAACCGCCCCTGTTTTTTTCTTACAAATTTTTAACCAGATTTAATATCCAGTCAGTTATGAGACACAGCAACAGTTCATATACGAAGAATGGGGAAAAACTTGTGAGAGACTGTCTCAAGAACAAATAAGTCAATGTAAAAATAAGCACCTTGGCAATCAGCTGCATATTAAATGGCCCATTCGCATTGAATGCAGAGGCAATTTGGATTGTGATTTCTTGAATCCGATTTAAGGTGACCTGAACGAGACTTTCTAAAACTCAGATTTTCCAATTGCTAATCCTAATCGATCACCATACCTGGTTGAGATCTTGTGGAGGAGTAACCAAAGTTGCATCACCCGAATGAATTCCAGCGTTTTCCACATGTTCACAGACAGCCATTACCAGCACTTCACCTTCCATAGCGACTGCATCAACGTCTATTTCCTTCGCTTCGCTGGAATCTCGTTGATCATTTCATCAAAAGCTAAGGTAAGTAAGCATAGCTACAAAGTAATGATTGAGTTGGCGTATTGCCAAAGAATTAATTCAGTCAGGGGTACGTGAGTTATAGATAACTTAGCCTTTTTTACAGTGATGGTAGAACAAGAAATTTAAAAAGTAGAGTTGATAAAACACCTTATGAACTTCGACACCACCACAGGATGTTCTTTGGCGACGACAGCTGCCTGTTTCAAGAATGCTGCCAGATCGTCTTCTGTGTGAGCGACGTTCATTGCAGCACCGGACAATACGTATGACGGCCGGATAAGACATGGATAACCAACTTTGGCACAGAATTGCTGGAATACTGGGCTTCTGAGTATAATTTACTTTTACAATGCGCTAAATTCCCAAACAAACTCAACCTTGGCATCTTCAACATCATCGCTTTTCTTCCACTGTGGTTGGCTGATTTGCAAATGTTCCAACTTTCTACTGAATTTGTAACGGTCTTCAGCGCTGTCAATATCGTTTGGTGACGTGCCAAAGATGCTCACCTGTAACACTACTTTGTTACCTATAATGAAAACGCGGAGTTTTACAGAGCTTTGGCGTAAAGGCCAAGCGTAAAGACCATGAGCGTCCCAAGCTGATAAGCTTCTACAGCAAGAAGATAAAGGTTCCAAAATGAAAAGCTGCACATGCAGAAATAGATGATTAGATGCCTTCAGCTCATAAAGCGAAAAATCGAAGCAATCTGCAAGTGAAACCTCAGCTGAGACAGAAACCTCCAAGTTAGCAATTGTAATTGCACACCCCCCAAAAATCTGCCGATTACAACATTTTTTAGGCTGAACCACGCATCACGAGTGAACAGCTTGCAAGAAGTCAGTCTCAAATACTTTTCAAATTACATCTCTCTCCCTAATTGAGATGACGTTTTAGCAAAGATCTGAATGCCTTTCGCATGGCCCCTGAATCGTCGTGAATAAGTCAAGTCCCGTGGTCTTTTCACCGGGTCGCGCAGCGCTACTAGAACTGGGGTGTGGTGCGATTCACGCGTCAATATAATGAGGTCATCGTACAAAATGCACTAAAACATCATGCCTACCATCATAACGGAGGAAATAAGAATTTATATACAGAATAAGTAAAGAAATGACCAACTGTACACGTTTCCAAAAGGATTGGGTTTACTAGGATCAAAAAATTTGAAGGTATTCTTATTCTGAAGGTTTGACAAGTAAACTGCTGACCTATGAGGTAAATTCTTACTCTCGAAGGGGCTTTTTTTGCCCTAGTAAAGAGATTTACTCTGTTCGTGGTGAAGCCGTGGACTCCTGC